GTGATATGAAGAGAGGAAGAAAAATATAAAACATCTGAGTGGGAAGAAGTTGTTTAATCTCCTTGGCAACAGGACGAGCGCATGAACAAAGAGAAAATTACACTCAGGTCCTACAGAACACAATTAATATAAAAAAAATCCCTGAAAATCGTGAAATGATTCTGAAGTCCCTAGGGACCTGTGTGTAATTAATTCTAATTGTGAAATTACTTATTTATCCCTGCTAATTTTATTGCAGCAATTCATTTACAACCTTAACAGTGGCTGTTGACAACCCGAGAAGAAGTGATTGATAACCTTGACAGTACTCATGACAACTCACTCTGTGGGATGGTTGTTGACAACCCGAGAAAAAGTGATTGACAACCTCGACAGTGCTCCTGACAACTCATTCTGTGGGATGTCAGGGGCGTTGCTGAGGTTATTAACCACATTTTCTCGGGTTGTTAACAGTTACTGTTGAGGTTGTAAATAGGTTCAAATTAACAGGGGTAAGTAGGTAATTTCACAATCAGAATTAATTACACACAGGTCCCTAGGGAATGCAGAATCATTTTGCAATTTCCAGGGACTTCTTTGATATTAATTGTGTTATGTGGGATCTGAGTGTAATTTTCCCATGAACAAATAACGATCATACCTTAAAACTCCAACCGGACCAGATGACCTGAGCTAAAGAGTTTGGATAGTTTATTGGCTCAAGTCAATAGGTCGGACAAATAGAGAAACAACCTTCCTGTATCGGACATATCCTCGCAGCTTCTGGAGCTACGTGGAATTCCAATCCAATCTACCACAGAGTACAATAATTTTACCGCTAGGAGATTTGAAGTCAAGAGCTCTCAAATTGCAGTGAAAAAAACAACCTAGCAAATAGTATGGCTATGCTTAGGGTGATTTTAGGTCAAAAGCCAAACCTGAAGAGAGCAAACGAAAAAAAAGTTAGGTTGAAAAACTCATAAAGTATGATGCAAAGTGGTTTAGGGCTAAATAATTTAAAGAGGAAAAAATTAACAGACAGAGGAAGATAAGACAAAAAAGGTAACACATTAAGAAGAGAGTAGAGAAACAGAGGAAAACAAGACAACACATTAAAACAAGGAACTATTTCTCGTTGTTAATATATGAGTTAGTTATGAAATTAGATTTGCTCCTAAAACAAAGACCTTAATTTACTTTTATCTCTTATTTTTGTTATTTTTTAAAAACTAATTTATCTAAGTTATAAATAAATATATAATGTAATTTGACACAGGATTATTTTAGGAAGATTAAGTCACTTTTGATATAATTAAATAATTTACTTTACTTTATTAATCTATTCAGATAAATTAAATAACTCTTATGTTAAGGACTAGATAGAATATAAACCAAAGGCATAGGGATTTTCCGGAACATAGGTCCAAGGAGAATACACATTTATACAGATCATGTGCAACTAGTCAATTTGATCAGAGAGTTTGCATGTGTTGGGGGGGGGGGATCTTAGCATAACATGCATTCTTGAGAATTTAACTGTGTACTCAAACACAACATGTAACGGTGAATAATATTGCTAACTTTTATATCCAATTTTGATTCTGTTTCGATTTTTTAAATTTAATCTTTTTAGTTTATTCAATTTGTAATCAAACCCAGTTAATCAATTGTTGGCTCACATTTTGTACCTTTTCTTATCACCCAGGTTGTGTAAAAAAGTTAAGTAATTTGAAATAGTAACCATTAACATATCATATCAATGGGAGTTAAGTCCAATGAAAGGAACTAGTCCTCATAACGTGACGAATTAAAATTTAAATTCTTATTCAAAAGAATTGTCCACATTTAATACCTGACAGTGTTTCAAACAAGATTGCCTTTGAAAAAAAAAACTAGTGTGTAGGAAAAAAAATAACACATGATTGTCAGTTTTTTTTAATGATATTCTCTCAATTTATATATATATATATATATATATATTTCAAACATAAAGTTGTACGTTGAGTTAGCATTACTTATATTATAAGGAAAATGACAAAAAAGGAAGTAGAAAATTTGTAAATGCCAAAGGAATATCAATAAAAATTTATTGTCATATATAAATTTAGTGTTTTCAATATCAAATAAAGTGTTATTACCAGGCTTGATTTAGGATTTAGTAATCTCCAGTTTCTTTTTTTTTTTATAATTCTCTCTATATGATATTAAAGACCTGTATCATATTGGACTTTGTAGTCACAATAGAAGTCTAAACATGTGTGTCCTTTAAGTCAAAACACGAATTGACTATATGGGCTATAGTGTAGTCCATTTCTAATGCTCACAACTGATCTTCCAAATTCCATTGAAATTTACGCATTTTTAAGCTATGCATAAATCTGAGGAATAACTTAGGTAACATAAAAAAACATTAGCGAACACACTGAAAATTACAGGGACTAAACAGGAAGTAAAAATAAAATGTAGAGACCAAAATAATTTCTTAGATGTCATTTTTCTTCTAAGAAAATGTAGAAATAAAATGTCATTCTTATTTTCGTGATAATTATCGGGAAAAATTAGTTGGGAGAATTTCAGTAGAGTCTCACAGAATATACATAATTTTCAACAAGTCTCAAAAGAATATGAAATTAATAGTAAAGTATTTAAAAATAGAAACACAATTATATTTTGAAGTAAAATTATCAAAATGTCCTTGCTTAATTGTTATTTTTAAAAGGTTGCCTTTTTACATCAAAATATAATTTCATTTTTAATTCTTAAATACTTTACTATCGGAAATTATGTATGTTCTATAGGACTTTACTAGAATTATATTCTCCCAAAACAATTACCAGATTAAAAGAAAAAGAAAAATGCTTGTGAGGTTAAAACTTGGTTGGAGAGTTGTTACTCTTTGTCAATGGAATTTTGAATATTTGGCTTGATTCTTCTAGCTGGTCTTCCCTTGCTGGAATTATGTTGACTTGTTATGTCTGGTTAACAGAACTTCATCCTCCCAGATCAACAGTATGAAACTTTAATATTCATATTCCCAAGTTATTGAAGTATATTTTTTTCAAAATAAAAACTAGTTCTCTGGTCCTAAATATAAAACCCATTTTGTACACTACAAAATGGGTCTTATATTTAGGACCGGAGGGAATATTACTCTGTCTTGTTCATGTTCATATTTATCAGATTATCAATTTTTTAATTATCCAAAGTGGCTATGCCCAAAATTGTTCTTTTGATTTTTTATTTTGGTGAAATTGATCATGGGAGAATAACTCTCATTTGCCTGTGAAACTGAATTTTTCACATTAGCCTATCCAAATCCTTTGAGCGTAGTTGGTTGGAGGAAGCTCGCCACCATCATATACCATTTATTTTAAGAGAGTTTGAACTCATAATCTCATGTTCAAAAAACCTTTTAGAAAAGCGTTTAGCATCAGTTGACTTGTGAAGCGCCTTAACCAAATATTGTATCAAGTTAGTTTTTACGTCTAGTTCCAATATTAGGAGGCATTCATTCCAACCGATAAAACATCTCCCAGAATATGAATAAATAACAAAGATTTCAATCTAATTAAATCACTAAGTTAATAAAAATAAATTCATATGTATTCAATTTCTGACTGATTTAGGAATAAAACTAAAGATTATAAAAATATCACTCCAATCCTTATTATTTGTTACTCATAGTAGAATTTTTTTAGTGATTTTTATTTGTCATTTATACTCCTCCGGTTCTAAATATAAGACCCGTTTTGTAGTACAATCTGCACTACAAAATAGATCTTATATTTAGGATCCGAGTAGTTCCATCTTTTAATGCTTCATTTCTAACTTAATCTATATTGGTTATAACAGTGAACAGAGAGAAAACAAGTGAAAGAAAATATACTACTTATTTAATGAGGACAAAAGTGAAAAAAAATTATTTATTTACTATCCTCCCGGATATGTGAAAAACTCCTACAAGTGACCCCAAAAAAAAAAAAGAACCAGAATGGTAGAAAAGAAATAATAAATGGAATGAGAGGAAAAAATACGATGGCTATTATTTAAAAAAAAAACATTTTCAATATTTTATTCGTTACAACAAAAATGATTGAAAAAATAATTGCAAAGAAGTTAAGAAATACCCCTAACATGGAAAAAGGAAAACCATAATTGGTGTGCTATTGCAAAACAATTGAAGGCATATTCAATAATCCATTTTTCCACCCTCCCATCACATGTGTTGGTGCCAAACACACATAAATCCCATCCCTATTCCATCACTTAAGAGACATAAAATATATCATATACTTCATCTGCTCCTAAAATATAGAAGTTAGATAATTAATTTATAAAAATTAACAAAATTAGTTAAATTTAAATTTATTATTTGTATTAAATATGTGACAATTTTCTTAAACTACTATTTGTAATAATTTGCATTGGACAATAGTATTGATCAAAACCCCTTTGGCATTTATAATCAATAGAATTGTTTGGTAAAAAAAATTATAAATTTTTCAGAATTCATGAACTAATCCCTACATTAGGGAACGAATGAAGTATATTCTTGGCTTTTACTTTATAGTTACATGAGTGTTTCGAGTTCGTAAGAGCTGCTCTCTCCAGTTCAAAATATAAGTTTAATTTTATCTATTTATGTTTATTAAAAACTAGTTAAAATCAGTTTAAAATAATAAATATGTAAGGCATGTATTTTTCTTCCAAAATATGCTCTTATTAATGAAGAGAATAAGTTAAATATGCAATAAATGAATTAATGAGAAAAGAAAATATATGGGGGTGAAATTTAAAAAAAAAAAACTCATTTTATTCTTATCTTTAATATAAGGTCTAGTTAACTAATTTGAAAAGATTAGGGAAGTTACTCAACTACTTTAAAATATTTATATTTATCATTTCTCTTTTCATTAATTTTCCGCACTTATAAATTAATATATAATCTAATGATACATATAAGTATTTTAAAAATTATATAACAGTATCTATAATTAAATAATTTAGTAACTTCTTTAATCTTTTTAAATTAATCAATTAGGTTTTAAGAAAACTGTCACATATTTCCTTTGATACATTACCTACAATACTATCAAATAAAATCAATTAATAGTGTCTTCTACTTTATAGCAATACAAGCACCAATCAATAAACTACCCCAAGTCTTTATATAAAATTACAAACACAACACAAAACTATTTAAACCATAATCTATATTTTACCTATCTGGGCCTACCTGCATTAGATCCGGCACTGGGATAACTGGGCCCACTCTTACCCATCACAGGACCACCACTTCCTCCACTCACAGCCATTGGATGAAACCCTCCAGACCCGTACACGTGTCCCTGATGCATCATCATCCCTGCTCCACCATACACTACACCACCACCACCTCCACCTCCACCTCCTACGCCCTCGAAGCCACTATTGGCAGCGTTCGCGCCTCCAACACCTCCGTCTTTGTCACGCGCCGCCACGCTCTTCTCGCCTTCCATTTCCCTGAATCTCTGGAGGTATATCTTGAGCGGCTCCACGTAGTCCTCAAATCCCAACGTCGTCATAGCCCACAGCAAATCGTCGCCATTGATGGTCTTCCGCTTCTCTCTCTGGCACTTGTCGGAGGCCTCACCGGTGATGAAGCTGATGAACTCCGATACGCACTCTTGTACTGTCTCCTTAGCGTCCTTCGAGATCTTCGCATTAGCTGGAAGAGCCTTCTTCATGATTCTGCTCACATTCGCGATTGGTAGGAACCGGTCTTGCTCTCGCAGCGATTGTTCGCTGCCGTGCGCATTGTTCGCCGCGTTCTGAGCACCTCCGGAATCGTTATCCGAGTCTGCCATCAACGACTCAACCAAACTCGAATCAATCGACTCAGCGTAAAATTTAAGCACTACAGCGGAGAGTGATTCTCGGAGTCAGAAACGAGAATTCCAGTGCCTCAAACTATTGAATCATGCAATTCTAGTAAAATTTAAATCGACGAATATCTCCGGACGATAGTTCAAGCTCGGGAAAACCGGACTGGGAACGAATTCTAAGTTCGAGATATCCTTCTGGAGAACTACACCGAACGCATTAATACTTTCAAAATCAGCACACAAATCCGTTTCTGAATTCGGCAGCGAGGATGAAACAGAACAAGAACACCCGTTGACTCGAAGGTATTTTCGGCGACTTGCAATCCGATGCCACTTCAGAGAGTTAAACTTGGAGTCTGTATGGCAGGTCAATGAAAAAGTGTATTCGGTGGGCAGGGCGGTGATTGTCGGCCGGCGAGATGCTGCGTCTCCGGCGAGCGGAGAAGGGAGAAGAAGAAGTGGTTTTGGAAGTTTAGAGGGGAATGAGCTAGGTCCGTTGGATCAGGGCGTTAATAACGCTAACACGCCATATCTAGAGGACACGTGGAGCTTTTGATACCGTTGTTTGTCGATAAGTGGAGTTAACAAGGACGGGTTTGGAACCGTCCGATTGAACAAGAGCTGAAGAATCTGGACCTTTCATTTGGTGGAGGCATATCGTCGTCTGACTTGGACTCCGTAATTGTACTTTGTTACTGTTCTGGTCTTATTTATATTTATAAATTATAAACGAGATCTTATAAATACGATTAGAAGTAATATTTCTTTCAAATTAATTCTGTTTTTCTTCTTGTAAGTTAAGATTTTCAAACCACAGTTTTTGCCAGATTTTTCAAACCATTTTCAAAAGATAATTTCTGAATTTACAACTCTCATAGCTAATTTTAATTGCTTCAGGAGAAACACTTAAATATCAAATAACGGAATTTTTTTTAATTATTGTCAAGAGATGAATAAATGTACATGAGTTATCAAAATTATTTTTTTAATTTTCAGTAAATATCGTTTTTGTTGTTTAATTTCATTTATTTTTAATTTAATTTATTATTTTCATTTTATTAATATTTTAATTTTAAATGGTGTATCTATTTTAAGTTATATTCATTAAGTTTATTTGACCTCTTAATTTTAATTATATAATTTTGTCTCTTGATTTTATTTATTTCTTCCAAATTTGAATAAAATTTCATAAAAATTTCAATTTCATAAAATAATTTCAATTAAAATTAAATTAAATGTAGGGACCAAAAAGTAAATGTAAAATAAAAATCAAAAGTAATTGAAAAAAATAAAGTATTGGATATAATTTAATGGGAAAAATAAAGTGATGATGAAATGCTTACATGTTAATACGCGTGGCAATGACTTTTCCTTTGTAGAAAAAGAAAATGAAGACTTTTCTCAGACTTGACTCGTTAACCATTATCTCTCTAATTTTCTCCAAACTAATAAATTCATTGAATTATTTATCAAGATATGTACATTATCCAAATTTAATTGCTTATATGTATTCATATCTAAATTATACTTATATACAATTATTACTTACTTTTATATGAATGACATACTTTGAAATAATCTATAAATGTGCTTATAATATCTTAAAGATTTATAATTTATAAATTACTTTCCAGCCAAAAAAATAGTCCGTCCTTAATATAAAGTTTATTTAATTAATTTAATTAGATTAAAAAAGTTACATAAGTTAGTTAATTATAAGAAATATACTTTTTTTAAATATCATACTTATCTTCCTTCATATCTCCCTCCATCTTCTACCTGATTATAGTTGACAGAGTATTAGTAAGAATAATTTATAAAAATTAATAAATATGATAAGTACATTTTATATTTAAGACTAAAATCAATTTAATAGTTAGCTTCTATATTAAGTATCAGAGGATATAATTTTTATTAATAGTTAAGTTGGGATGGCATTGCTCAAATTTTGACTTGACAGTGTTAGATATCTTATAACTGTATAAATAAAAGGGTTAAAAAGTTGTTTTACTCTCGAAATTATCTTTTTAGGAGTATTATACCTCCTAAATTACAAGTGGTACAATGTCCCCCCCCCCCCACTTCCCCCCTTTCTCAAGTTTAACTCTTGATAAGTCAAAATTAACTCCTCAACGTTCTGCTGATCACATTATGTTAGATGAGGATATTAATTATGCGTTTAAAGAAGCTTTATGAATGCAGTATAATCATTTTCAGGTTTAAGAAGTCAAGAAAGCATTTTGGTTGGTGAATTATTTGTTGGCAATATTCACATTCATAGAGTTTCTATGGACAAACGACATAAAACTATGATTAATTTTCATTTCTAGTTGTTTGAGAGCATTTTTGCTTTGATTCATAATTTTGGTTTATTTCAGGCTGAGGATCATCTGAATTTGCACCTTATTTGGGTTGGAAAGTTCTCATTTAATATTACAGTTGCTCATCAACATCAAATTGCATCAATTAAATGGCAGGAGATCCTAACTCTTCTTTGTGCTTTTCATGTTCTTTCTTTATAGATCATTTTTCTTGGTATATTTTCTTGTATTTTGGGACATAACTTAAGTTCCATTTGCTTTACTACTTTGTAAACTTAAATATATATATATATATATATATATCATTTTGTCTTTTATCAAAAAGAAAATATTCTACCACTTGATAGAATATATGTTCATGCATGTTTGATTGGAAAACTTGATATAATATATATAAGGAACTTGATGTAGGTATTATGATTTAGAATATTTCATATTTTAACTTATGAACACAAGAATCTTTTAAGACTAAACGAAAATAAAATATACTACTCTTCCGGTTTTAAATATAAAACTCATTTTATAATATAATTTACATTAAAAAATAAGTCTTATATACAAGATCGGAAGAGTATATAAAAAACCCAATCCATTGCATTTAATATAAGAAGAAGGTCCTTCGGATTAGCTCTCTAGAATTTTAAAAATATTTCATGTCCTTTGTTTTTCTTTGTAACGTCAAGGTCATTGCTTCGGCTTTGGAGTGAAAAATAAAGCAATGTATAATTGGAGTGGTCTGAATCTTAAATTTTCATGATTATTTTTAGGATAAATGTGCTATTCAGATCTTGATCCTTTTTTTATTTTTCATCCAATACTATGGGGTGTTGGATGCACTAAAAATAAAATTAAAATATTCAGATATACCAAGAAAAAAAGATTAGAATACTAGATATACTATAAAAAGAGATTTTAAATGTACTTGAAAAATAAAATCAGAATGTTGGATGTATCTTTACTCTTATTTTTATCTTCAAAAGTTAGACAACTTGAAGATTTTTATCTTTTATCCGCCTCATTTATTTAACAAAACAAAATAACAGAAGATAATATATATATATATATATATATATAAATTAAAACTCAAATGATTGAAATAGTAAAACAAATTTTGATTTTGGAAGCGTTTTCCATCTATTGTAAACCAACAACAAAAAACTGGACCAGACATTAAATCAATTAAGATAGTGGCTCAAGCATCAATAGGTCAGGTTAGGATCAATTCAAGGTCAAACTGTTCATATTAAAATAATAAAATTTAATTAAAAGTAAAAAAAATATAATAACATTAATAATTACTAATAATAAAATATAAGAAAATACAACAATAGTTGATTATAACAATGATAAAGTACAACAATATTAAAAATTTTAATATTTACGATTTCTTAATAACTAAAACTAATAATTATGAATACCAAAATTATCAAGAAAATTCATTCAAATCTATAATAACTGAGATATTAGGAAATAAATGAGGAAATATATGACTAATAACAATATAATCATTTAAATCGATTTATCACAAGTTTGACCGAGTTAACTCTAGTTTAATTTCTGATCGGTTCAGTACTAAAAACCAAACCAGAGCAATGACTAGTTTTAATGATTGTAGAAGAGTGCGGTTGCTCTTATGGCGATCATGGCGCGAAGGTTCTTCAAAGTGAGAGGACTGGTTTGAGAAAGGAAAGTCAAGGGGAAAAAAATTAATCATTTAGTTCATAACTCAATCAAATCTTATTCTTTAGACTTTGACTTGGTGTAATTTAATTCTTCTAGTTTAAATTGTATGAAAAAAAATTGTCTCCAATATTTAAAAAAAAAAATTTAGTCCTTCATAGTTTTATTTTTTGAAATGTGGGGACTAGCATTTAAAATGACCAGAACCATATGAATTGGGTTATACTAGATCAAAATTTAGGAATTGAGTTAAAACTACTATACAACTACATAAGGACCAAAATTTTAAAATAAAATTAAGAGTTTAACCATTGAAACTTAAAAAAAAAAAAAATTGCCGACGAAGCTTTTTTTTTCCTTTTGGTACAATGCCAACAAAGTATTTTAATTGAACTTAACAATACTCAAATCTAAATCGATAATATCACATACAATTATATAAAAAAGTAAAAGAAAAGGTTCATAGATAACATAAATTTTGTGAATAGCAAACCCACTCATATGCTTTCGTTGCACTCTTAAGATATATATTAGAGCGATGATTAATATGACAACCTCGTACCACATATAGGCAAGAGCACAAACCCAAAATCATGTAATAGTTCGGTTCAATGCTTAAACAAATTAACAAAAGTTACATTTCAAAGTGTCCCAACAAGCACCCAAAAGATATTATATAATACTGCCTCTAATCCCTAATATAAAAATCGGTTAACTGATTTGAGGAGATTAAAAAAACTTATAAAAATTGCTTTAAAATATTTATATTTATCTTTTCTTAAACTAATTTGCCTAAGTTATAAACTAATATATAATCTAATAATACATATAGATATTTTAAAAAGATCACATAAAAAATGCTATAATTAAATGATTTTTTTAACTTTTTTAATTTTCTCAATTTAATAAATTGGGTTTTATATTAAAAACTGAAAGTATTATATATATATATATATATTCATATAATAAAATAAGGGAAAATTTCGTTCAAGGACCGCAGTACAAAATTAATTTCAAAGAGCCTCCAAAACTTTCTGAAATTTCACTACAGGACCAAGAAGGCAAACTGATATTAACTCCACAAAGAAAATGACCCTATTGCCCCTCATGTGAAAAAGTGTGGGAGAGTCCATTTGCAAGTGAGACTAGACAATTTGTAATATGCATATATATATATATATATTTACAACTGAAATTAGTCCATTTACATGTCATTTCCTTCACCTGAAGAATATGTCTGAGTGAACAAGTGTGGGACAGCCCATTTGCAAGTGGAACTAGACAATTTGCAACATACATACATTTATTTATAACTGGAATTAGTCTATTTACATGTCACTTCCCTCACCTGAAAAAGGTCTCCGTGAGTGAATAAGTGTGGGAGAGTCTATTTGCAAGTGGGACTAGTCAATTTGCAACATACATACATTTATTTACAATTGGAATTAATCCGTTTACATGTCACCTCTTTCACCTAAAGAAGGTCTCCGTGAGTGAATAAATGTGAGAGAGCCCATTCACAAGTGGGACTAGTCAATTTGCAACGTACATACATTTATTTACAATTAGAATCAGTCCATTTACATGTCACTTCCTTCACCTGAAGAAGGTGTCTGTGAGTGAATAAGTGTGAGAGAGCCTATT